AGTGCCAATTGTAATCAAGCAGGTCCTGCTCTGCTAATGCTTGACATATTCTCCTTTTCTGCTGTCAACATGACCCATTGGAATCCACTTATTGAAGAGACATGTTGCTCTGAATTTAACTCACATTGTTCATCAATTTTCCATTCTTGAAAAACAAGCAGTAAGGTTGCTGCCTTTAAGCACAGAGATTCCTACATCAGGGACATGAAATCCTGGTAGAGTTTCATTATCCAATGATCCTTTTTCTTCCACTAAACCCTGACCCAGGAAAGATAGGACTAATTCAAGAAAGAATATGGAGACATATATCCCAGAAACCCAATAGATGGGCAGGTGTAGAGTGCATAGAAAGCTTTATGTTAAGTCGAGAAACCTGAGTTCAAACATTCATTCATTCATTTATCATTTCCAGAGCCTAGACCAAGTCACTTAAACTCTCTGTCATCTTTTTCTGTCTACACTGAAGATAGACCTGTACAGAGCATGAATTGCCCTAATTCACTTAAATTTCAGTTGCTCCTCATTTAGCTACTAAATGCTGCTACCTGCTAATATGTGTGCAAGTATGGAAACAAAATAATAAATAAAAGAAAAAGCATGCACTTACACATAGAAATATGCAAAATTCTACTAATCCTTCAATGTATCATCCAGTTATTTTAGACAAAATCCTAAAAATTATGAAGAAGGATTTCTCAATATAGATAATAAAAGCACTATTTTCGTATGCTTGTTGTGACTATCAAATGATATTCTCTAAAACGCATTGCAAAAATAAAACACTGCATAAATATTGTTAGTGAGAATACATTCATTATTTATCATCATCATCATCATCATCATCATTATTATTACTACTATTATTTTGTAGAAAAAGTCAACAGGAGTCCTAAATAGAAAGAACTGAGTCCCTCACATATCAGTGTTCAGACATCATTATCTCCTTTCTTCCTGTGACCTAGAAAGACCTTCATTCTATCCTTTCCTGGAATCAGGCTAAGGGTAAAAAAATAAAAAAATAAAAAAAAGTTTGCCTCTCAAATGTTAGTAGTTGCTCCTTTAGAGATTCTAATTAATCACTGTAGTTGATGAAGGGTTTTTTTTTTCCTTGAGACAAAAGGTTGTTTTTAACTCAGACCCATCTTAGATCTCTTCTGCTGACTTTCCTTTCTGAGTTGACATAGTAATTATAGTTCTTTGGGGAGATGAGCTCAGTAAACCCCATCCATATAACTACAGCCCTGCCCATCCCCACAAAACACACACATACATATGTGTGCACCCATATACACCCACTCTCACTCCCACACCCAACTCTAGCCACTGCTTTGGCAGCACAGATCAGACTGGTGAATGACTTTATGCCTGGAACACAAAGATAAGGAATCCTAGAAACCTCTTCTAGGAGAATGGAATTACTGCTCTGAGTGTTTGAGATACAGATGAGACCTTGCAGAAGAAGCCTCAGTAGGTATTATTCATTCCTTAAAATGCAGCAAGGATGTATTTTTGTTCTTTATTTTTCTTTTTTTTCAGCAAAGATAAAGTTTATTAGAACATCCGTAATATTAGGCGGATTCTTAAGGATTCTGAATGTTACTGAGCTATTGGCTAGATTATAAGAATCTGAGCTAAGAATGTATTTTCTGTCCTATTTACTTGTCTGGTGTCTCTGCCTCTGTCCCCTCCCTACTATGGTCTCCAAGCAGGATAAGGAGCATGTGTAGGTACATTACTCAGCAGGTTATGTTTCAGATGTTGAGAGATTCAGAATTGTAACAGTCCTGGGAGAAAACTGGGCCCTCATTATTCCATTTCTGATTAGATCGTGGAATGGAATTGTAACTTTTCAGTCTGAGTTCAACCAAAGGCTCACCAGAAATCTCTGATCTCTGTTTCAGGCTCAGTTGCATAAAAAAAGAAGTCATTTTGAGCTGTCCAACACCCTCGCTGTGCAAGCTCAGAGTCCTGACTTGGTGCATTGACAGATCTCTCTGGGTCTTAGACCCTGGGCTGCTGTTCTCAGTGGCTTCAGGCCCTTCACCTTGATCCGGTTCCCTTCTCAGGCTGCAGGGCTTTGAAAGAATATGGATGACAGGCTGAGCATTCCTTTGGGGATTGTTAAAGCAAATGCTCCATGGCCTAACCTCTCTCCCTGTGCCAGTCATATAGAATCACAGATTCAGAGCAGAGACATCAGAGTAGTTGATCTGAAACCCTCATTTTACAAGTGAGGAAACTGAGGCCCCAAGAGACTTGGTGAATCTTTAAAAGTCACAGAAAGTCTTGGCTGATAGGGATTTGAATACGTGTTCTCTGTCTCCCATTGCAGTCTGCATTCTACAGCCCTATTCTGCTTCTGGGGTGGCCTTCATGCCTGTTTCATTCCAATGTAGCTTTGATTGGGTAACTGGGAATTGCTTTCAATCCAGAAGTTTTGACCCTTCATTCCTGTCTCCTACATCATTTCCTCTGCATTTTCCTTATTCTTTTCAATCTTCCTTACTTTTGTCACTCTTATAATCACGATGAATTTTAGATTTAGTGACTTCCTACATTGTAAAAGCTACATTTCACAAATTGGGAAAAGCCAGATCTCTTCCTTTCTGCCCCAAATGGCCTGGGTACCCATGAATCAGGGTTAAATGAAAAGGGCACTCAAATTAGAGTCACTGGGGAAGGGTTCAGATTCCGATTCTCTTCTTTACTGTCTCTGCTGCCTGGGGAAGATCATTTCATTTTTGCATTTCATAATTTTTGCAGTCTAAAATAATCTCTTCTTTTGACAATCACGCTGCCCTTGGTGGTAGTAATCTCTTTAGTCAAATGTTTGCACAAAATACAAAGTCGATAGGATCTTCTTTACACTCAAGGATAGTTTTAAGAAAAGATTCATGCTCTTGTAACAAAATCCTAGTGATGATAATTCCACTCAGGAGTTTTTATACTAGTCTTACTATGTGGATCAGTTACTGAAGTTCTTCAAGATTGACCCATGCACTAAAATTTATCCACTGTGAAATTTCCCTAACTTCTCATCTTTTCTTATTCATAAAACTAGTGAATTAAAAAAAAATCAGTGATTATTTTACTTTGTTAACACAAACTTTAACTTTTTAGAATTTTTATACTCTTAATATACTTGTAAAAACAGCAGATCTATATCAGATTTCAGTTCAAAACACATACTTTCACCTTCCATCTTTTCAAATGGTGAAAAATAAAATCAAAGCCTGTGCATAATACCCTATGTATAGCAAGGAACTAGTAATGATACCAAATTTGGAGTTAGACTTAGGCATTGATTATGTACTGATGAAACATAGAGAATAGAAAAATATCAGTCACCTTATAGTCAAGTAAAACATGAAAAAGACAGATGGGATACAAAGTGTCTGGGATAAGTAATAGCAAAAGGGAATTCGGCAGGGAGACAACAACACACTATTTTTATTAAGCCACAACTGCTTAATTTTCTAATATCTCTGGAAGATAGGAGTCTATAAGGCAGACAACAACAGGCAAACAATAATATTGTTTCCTTATTATTTCCTTGCACTTCAGTGCTTATGTTCCACTGTGTTGGAAGATTTGTGGATTCTGAGAGTGTGACCTGAGAACTATATTGCTTTTGGAATACTCAAAGGCTCTTGCTGTAATAATTCTGAGTGACAGCTCAGCATCAGGGATGGCTACATTTGTGACAATAATTTCTCTATAGAAAGGTTCTCCATGGTGAATGACTTTATATTAATGGCATTAGAATCCTTGAAGTCAAAGGACTTATGAGCTTGGCAAAAGCCTACAATTAAAACTACTTGTCTTCTCTGTGTCACCCCAAGTGGTCTAAGGAAGTGCCATGAACACTTAATTTAGAAAGAACAGGACCTACAGAGAATGGCTGCTCATTTAGGATATCTAGCCAAAATAAGTACAGGTCAACCAGCATCCCTAGCCTTAATGGCCTGGATATTTCCTTACCCTTTATCATAGCTACATCCAAAATTAACAGTGGAACCATGATGGTTTTTAAGATGCATAAGTGCTTGATGTTACTAAATGATCTAGTAATATATATTTTAGCAAAATCCATAAGGAATGGGAGGGAAATCCAAGAATAAATAAAGTCTTTCAAAAATAGAAGGGAGTTCTATTCCAGTTGCTTAATACATTCCCTATAAGTAGTCAGTCAAACTTTAAATATAGGTCTCTGGTAAAGATCAACATATCACTTTTCATGGCAGCCTAGTCCATTATTTGAAAACTCTTAGGACTATTATCAATTTAGAATGTTTGACTATGTTCTTTGTCTGTCTCAAATATTGCTCTATTTCTGACTTTAGGTTCAAATCAGAAAAAAAAATTGCACATACAATTTATTCGTATTTGAATATTTTCTAAGATTCTTCACAATGTCTCCTTGTCTACAACCCAAATAATCAGGGAATATTTATAATTTGAATTCCTCATCAAAATTTTCATCTCTTAAGGGAAATGTAGATAGTGTATATATTAGCAACCTTTCCTTATTTTTTCCTAAGTTTCCCTGAAGCCTTTTCTTCCTAAGGCAAAACATTTCATTTTTCTTGAACCATGAATCCTACTTTGTTTTTTTTTTGGAAGCCCTTCGTGATCTTTGTCCTTAGTCACTAGATAATCTTTAAAATATCAATGTCCTTAAAATTTAGCAAATATTTACAAAGGTATGGAAGACAAAACAATATAACAAATAAATAGTCACTACCTATCAGTATAAACATTTTATAATGCCGTAGGACAGGAATACTTGCATTGTCATCCTTAATAAAAACAGGTATAAGAAAAGCTTTTTTCTAAAACTCTATATTTGTATAACAAACAGGGGTTACTGCATCTTGTCTGAGTGGTGAACAGAGTTGGGAATCTCATTTCACATTGCTTGTTCTATGACATAATCTTCTCTTTTCATTCCCAGGTAATTTCTAACCTGACTACCATTTTTCTGTACAAGGCAATAAGGAATGCATTCTTATGGTGATATCATGTGCATTTTCTACATGCTTCAGAACATAATTGGATCATTTGGAAATGGTTTACTCCTTTGCTTCTGTGGCTATAATATAATCACTGGTCAAAGCATAAGACCCATTGAACTGATATTCATTAATTTGGTCTTTTCCAACATTATGATGATTGTCTTGAGGGGAGTTCCATGGGCAATCTATTCTTGCATTCAGAAAATTTTTGTGGGTGACATTGAATGTAAAATCATAATTTATCTTCAAAGAGTAGCCCGGGGAATTTCCCTTTGCACTACCTGCCTTCTGAGTGTCTTTCAGGCCATTAGCATTAGTTCTGGCCATTCCATATGGGCTAAGCTCAAAGCCAGGGTCCAAAAGTACATTGTTCCATTCTGTGTTTTCATATGGGTTCTCAATCTGCTGATAGATGGGGTTGTGCCTCTATATGTGACTGCCACTAGGAACAACACAAACAGCAACCTGAGTAGAAATCTAGGGTATTGTTCTGTAGACAGGCATGCCTTGAATACCTCAAAACTTGTAATCTAGAAGTTACTTTATGATGTAGGGTTTGTGGCATTCATGGCCATTACCAGTGGGTATATGGTGGTTGTTTTGTGCAGACACCACTGGCACGTCCAGCACATTCATAAGACCAGCCTCAACCCCAGTTCTTCCCCAGAGACCAGAGCTACCAGAGCCATCCTGTTGCTCATGAGCACCTTTGTGTGCTTCTACTCATTCAGTTCCATCTTTATTATTGTGATGGATAATTCTAAAGACACAAACCTATGGATGATCCATATCTTTGTTGTTTTTTCCTTGTGTTACCCAGCAATAAGTCCCTTTCTTTTAATCTGTAGTGATTCCCAGATACCCAATTGTTATAATGCATTCAAAGGGGTGAAAAAATCTTAATTATCAAATGTTGAGAACAAACATGACAAAACAGAGAGCCATGGAGTTTTGAAGGTTAAAAAAAAAACCCTTCTAAATACCAATGTAAACATCTTATTTTGAAAAAGAGGATGTGAGAGCAAGGGATCAGCTTCCAATAAACCAGAAAATGGTGATTTTGTTTTCCCAAAGCTAAGCTTCTTTGTTCATGGGCCATTTTGTTCAGAACAACAACAAATCTGGGGGTCAAAAGACAACAGAGGAATATTCATTAAAGTTGGTAACAATGCCAAGCTATGGTCTCATTCTTCATTGAAGGGAAGCACTTTAATTGTCACCACTTATATTAACAATGGCCGGAGAGTTTAATGATCTGCCCAGGACTACACAGAGAGTGAGGATGTGAAGGCAATTTTAAATATTGTGTTGCCTTACTAGAAAATACACAGGCATGTGCAGTGGGTCTTATTGCAACCTCTTCTCTAGATCTAGCTAATAACCATTTATTTTCTGTATAGTTTATTTCTTAAAAATAAGATTTTTTTAAAAAAAATGGGATTCCTTCACCATCAATTCTATCCACCTTTATTAAAATAAATGATGAGAGGTGTGGGTTGTGGGAGGGAGGAGAGAGAGAGAGAGAAGGAGAGTCAATTCATTAAAAATAACCAACATTTCAAAGGAATTTGATAATATATGCAGTATTTCTGGTCATATCTCATGGAAAATAAATAGGAAGAATATTTAATTTTGAGTCAGACACTCAAGGTGAGAATTCTGATTATATTACCTACTTTTTGTGGTCAATAGCGAGTCCGTTACATTCTGATCATTTCTTGATTTTGTATGAAAAGAAAACAAAATATAAAGTAATACCAAACAAAATCTAAGGTTCTAGCCAAGACTAGATTATATATTGACATGTACAATGATTCAAAGCACTTCTCTCTACTTATCTAAATACATCAGTCATAAACTCATATATTTCAAGTATCCTCTCTGTTATTTTGTATATTAACAATAAATGTATTTTTTTGTTTTTTTCATTGAATTTTAATATTTGTCATACAAAATTTAAATCATGTTACTAAAAACAGAATCTTAATCTGGAAACAATTCTGCCAAACTTTTGAAGAACTCCCCATGCACAAATGATGTGTGTATCTTTCCTCAAAGGCAATAACTATATTTTGCTAACTGTACGATCAAAGGCATGGAGACGGAGGCTTTTCCACATGATGCTGAATTTTAGGGGGCATACAAACACCTTATGACTGTTCCTCCTTTCAGAGACAAAAGTTAAAGAAATGAAGGAAAAGACAACTAATTATTAAAATATCCAAAGTAACAGATAAAGAGCTGAGAAAGGATACAAACTCAGTGTTATGTAAGGTCCCAGAATGAAATATCATTAAATTCATGAATAATAATGGGTGTATTTTTGCAGCAGTTTAAATGTTACAAAGCAAGCTTTCTTCCTAATGACTCTGTGAGGCAGCAACACCAAGTTTTATTTCTTTGTTTACTGATGAATGTATGATAGAGAACAAAATAAGAAATTGGAATACATCTGAAATCTCCAAGAGCTATGGAATTTATAGGTAAAACCTAACTATTGTAGAATGAATATGTCTATAAAGATATACTAATTTTATGTAATACTATATGCCAGCTGTATATTTGCATCCTGTATTTCTGAACTGACATTCTTTTCCTTGGTTGTCCGTGGATGATTGAAATTATTTATGAAGAGAGCTTATGGTGGACTTAGGAGTACCAGAAAAGAAGTAAGCTGGTGAGGATAAAGCAATCACGTCTGTCTTCTGAAGTCTCTTTCTATTGTGACAATGGCAGATGTTGAAGCTGCGCAAGGGAATACTGCTCTGGGCTGTTTCTGATCCTACAATTGATAGCAAGAAACGTTTGTTGCTAACCAGGGCATATCACTCTTTTGCTATGAAAGGTCTACATAATGTTATAGAGCATGTACATTAGGAGAGCAGTATGCATTGGGAAGAAACAGAATTTATTGTCAAAAAGTTACATAGATATCACATAGAAATAGAATATTGTGCCTTCTTCTATTCATAGAAAAATACTGCTGGCTCATGCTGATTACTTAAAGAATATAAGTGTTAGCACACTTTTGAAACTTTTCTTCATTGTTTTCCTATTTCTAGAAAGAGACATAAGGAACCAGAGTGTTGTATGAGGGGTGATGGACCATATTACTCAGTATGCCCAAGCATACCCAACAAGGAACTTAAAAGCCTCCATCCATCTTTGAAATAGTGTGATGCGAAAAAGATTTCTTAGTGCATGGTCTTCCTTTCAGGATCTATTCAGAACAAAGTCCAGACTCTCAAAGTGCAATGTTCAAAGACAGATTAGCTCTGGCAAGCATTCACATGCTTACAGTCACATCCTGCTATCTGGAAGATGATCTGTAACTAGAAAACTTCAACCCAACTCTGGTGAATATGTTAGGGATACTGAAACCATAGAAAAATCTCACTGGCACCAGCATAGGGCTTTTCTGGTACATTTGTAGAATAAATCCATTGGCTTTATATTCTACCTACTGATGCTTGAACTAAAGGCACAACTAGCTTTTGAACTATATTTTGGGGTCTATGAGAAAAGAGTAACTACAGATACCCATGGCCACTATGTGTGTTAGCTGAAAAATTGACAGAACTTTACCACCTAATTATGTTACTAGCCAAGAAGTATCCTTAAAGAAACATGTGTTCAATTCACGTTTATTGTCAGGAATTTCAGCAAGAAGAGGTAATGCTCTTATGAAATTTTAGCATTCCTGAGACATTAAAGATGGCAGACAGATTGAAGGCTACTCCTTATCTAGTTGTAGGGAGGCTAAGCTATATGCCTGTTTAGTCCCAATAAGAACAATGGATCACAATCACATATTGAAAACTGCTGAGTTAGTTGGCCTCTCACATCAGGACATCATAAAATTATAGAGGAGGTTCTTCCTTCAGTCCTCCTCATAGCAATTTCAAATGCATATCAAAGAAAAAGACAAAAGCAATATAAAAATATATGTACAGAATAATTATTTTTTAAGCCATAACCTGGGCCTTTTACTTTCCCCCAACATTAAGTATAAATATATGAATGTTCTTCAATATTAAAAATAACATCTTGGCCAATATCTGTCATAGAAACAAACATACACACATGCAAATTCACACACATACACACACATGCACACACACATACTATTTATTTATTTATAGATATATCTATATATCTATATTACTTGTTATCTATCTATATCCATCTACAATACTATGTATAGTTATAATAGCTAGATCAGGAAAAGGAGACAAGAGAACCCAACATCTACTCGACAAATAAATGCCTTTTGAAAAAATGAAATACTGGAGAAGACAGTTTGTATATGCAAACATATATACACAAACGCACATATAGATTCATGCATAAACTTTGCACGTGAGCTGGTGTTATAACGAGTAGCTTTTGAGTACTGGACTTAGGAAGATCAAAGTTTACAATTGTACATAGAAGCTTACTTACTGTATGACTCCAGTCATGTCTCCCAACCTACAGTTACTTTCATTCATTGTAACATAGAGATAATAATAGCTACTTTTCTCATGTTGGAGTACTAAGTGTAATGATATTTGTAAACAGCCCTTACCATGGTGCCTGGCACATAGTAGGTACTTTGTAAATGCTTATTCTCTTCACCCTTTCCTTTTCCAAATACATATACACATGCATATCCTTATACACATTTGCAAATGTAATAGAGACTTATATGCATATGTATATAGCAACAGAGCGACACATATTTGTTCAGGGAATCATTACAAGCATACTCAGAGGAGGACCTTGAGTTTAGTGTTTCACAATTTCAAAGTTTTTTTAATCATCCATGCCTAATGCTTTTTTTTTTTTAGGTAATTGTGGTTAAGTGACTTGCCCAGGGTCACACAGGTAGTAAGTGACAAGTGTTTGGTCTGGGGCTGGATTGGAATGCAGCTCCTCCTGACTTTCAGGGCTGGTGCTTTATTCACTGTGCCACCTAGCTGCCCCTCCAATGCCTTTTAATGGTTAAGACCAAAATAAATAATTTTTCACAATAAATTTTGAAAAGAAAACAAAGTTTTTGTAAAATTCAGCACTTACTTATTTTAAATACACAACAAAGCATAGAAAAGATAATATTAATATGATGAAAAGTATGTCTCTATAATGTAAAGCTAGCACTAATTAAAATGAATCTCAAAAATGTTAGCAAAAAACAAAAGAGACACCATTATAAACTATTAATAAACATTATTTGGTATTTTCTTGTTCAGTCATTTCTGACTGTGATCCCGTTTGTGTTTTTTTTTTCTTCAAAGACTCTAGTCTAGTATGGAATGCTATTTCCTCCTCCAGCTCATTTTAAAGATAAGGAAACTGAGACAAATAGGGTTAAGTGACTTCCCCAGTATCACATAGCTAGTAAGTATCTGATGACAGATTTGAATTGAGGTAGTTGTGACTACAGGACTGGTACTCTGTCTACTGCATGACTCAGCTGCCCACTATGGGTAAGCATACAAACAAAATTTTTTTTAAAAGCCTGGAGATCAAATTTTAAGAGGTTATGCATAAAATTACCTTGAAGAATGCGAAAGAAAAGAGAAAATAAAACAAATAAAAAATAATCCATCACTTTAAATACAAACTAAACACACAAAATAAACTCACATTGACTATGTTCTTAAATATCTCAGCTAAACAGCAGAGCCAAGAGTATAAAGAAAAAAGAAGTTGTATCACTGAAAAAAACAAACAAACAAAAACCCCACAGGTAACAAATAATCATGGTTAAGAAACTCATAGAATTGCTTTCCAGCTATTGAAATGAAAATGACATTTTACAACCAAGCACCTCCTAAGGTAAAAGATGAAAGATTGAAATCACAAATAGTTCACCTTGTAAAATTGTGTTCAATGAGTAGGAAGCTTGAAGAAAAAACCTA